AGTGCTGTGGCAAATCTTAGTCAGGACTGTTTGCGTACGCCATTGAGTCGGCCCCTGACAAACATCTACCATTGATATATCGATGTGATGTCAACATACGGAGGCAGTCACGGCCCAAGATAACTAATATCTAACCGAAATTCATCCAACTGGGTAAGCAAAAGGCTCTGAGGCAAAAAAAACGAGACACAAAGTCCCCACGAAATTGAGTAACTCATTCGGCTGTCCCAAATCTTCTAAAAATAGCTCTTCACATTTGCTGGGAAAAGCTGTTGAACTCCAATGGGCTCTTTTATCTCCGCTTTAACGGCAGAGAGCTTCCTACAGAGACTAACTGCCTTCGCCCAACATGGTCGGTTATTCGGCACTCTTACTTTAACGACACACTTGTTGTCAACATAAACATATAGAAAAACAGTAACAACTTACTCAAAGGAATATCAAAAGGAAAAGCAGCTGTCTTTCCGGGATGTCCTCGCCAAGCGAAAACTCAACCAGGAGATTGAGATAACGGCTTATAAAAGGGCAACGAATAGCACACAGCTTCGCATAATTGCGCAGAGCGTTTACAGCAGACAATCGATAGCTCGTGATACAAGCTAAGTGAGAACGCTTTTCAAGCGGATTCAGACCCATTGCCGTATGGCGGAAGAAAAAGTGCGCGAGATCAGGTTAAATGTTTGACTTCAATGTGCGGAATGGCTAACCTACAATGTTCAAAGTTCGATGTCCACGGGTTCAGCCTCAGAGGACGCAACTAAAGGCATCACTGAACATATGAAGTGCCCTGCTATACATTAGAGGGTCGTAGAAGTGACCCAGTGCATAACTGCGGGACTACGTGTTGGAATTGCACAAAGCTAGCATACACAGTACAAGGATAAAAATTAAAGACTGTCTAATCGCCAACCAGAAAGCTGGGCTAATATATTGAATCCTATGCCTAAGCCGTCACTTAAATGCACGTGTCAGTCTAAACGAACATTTGGGTCGTGCCTAACTAAACTACCTCTGGCTGTGTGGCATGGCGACAAAGCACGGCAAGTTGCTGTCCACACCTACGAAACGGGTCATGAGTTCAAATTTGCAGCTATCAATACAGTTGCCTACACACCGCGGAAATGGCGAAGTGAAGGTGCAGAATTATAAAGTAATCTAAAGTAGGTTCTTATTACCCAGACCTCGACACGCTGCTGTTGAAAAACTAAGTGCTTTGTCTGTTAACAGATGTGTCCCTGACAGGCAAACAAAAGCCACTCTTCCGGAAGGTGCGGGGAGGGACTTAGTTAATGTCGCCGGGATGGTTATATTGTCTCAGTAGGGAAATCCGCAGCAGGAGAATTCGATACAGAGGTATAGGTGGGTGGAGGCTGTTGCTGTATGGGGTTGCACTCAGGATCGTTAAGTACAGCTATTCGTAGCGGGGGTATGATGGAGGTCAGCACTGAATCCGCTGGCTTGGCGCGTGCCTCCTCAAACGTTGGCGGTGGTAGGTCAGGAGTCACATCATCGTAAACTGGCAAGGGTGGAAGCAGGGATGTCGGCATCAAACTGTATGGAGAGATCCTCGCTAAAGCAGGAAGAAAACAAGAACAAGTAAACACAGCGGTTTATGCCCGTTCGGAACTGTCTCGGGAACAAATACTTGGTAAAGGG